GACAGGCGGAGGGGTAGGGGGTAGGGCAGGTAGAAGGCAGGGAGACCCATGTCATAGCTACCATTTCCCTAACCCTTGACTCAATCATCTTCCCGTCCACCCTCATAGCCTCCACCATATCATTTCTCACCCAGCACTTCCATACCCCTCTGCACCCCATCCTACCCTACCGCACTGCAGGTATCTCGAGAACGGATGGTTCTAGGGCCCCCTGCCTGACCTCACCAATCTCAAGAAGCTCACTCAAATGTACTTTGCCTGCACCCCTGCGCCCTTGCACCCGCCTGCTCACTGCCTGCCCCCTACACACTGCTTGCCCCCAACACACTGCTTGCCCCCTACTCACTGCTTGCCCCCTACTCACTGCTTGCCCCCTGCTCACTGCTTGCCCCCTGCTCACTGCTTGCCCCCTACTCACTGCTTGCCTGCCTGCTCACTGCTTGCCTGCCTGCTCACTGCTTGCCCCCTACTCACTGCTTGCCCCCTACTCACTGCTTGCCTGCCTGCTCACTGCTTGCCCCCTGCTCACTGCTTGCCTGCCTGCTCACTGCTTGCCTGCCTGCTCACTGCTTGCCTACCTGCTCACTGCTTGCCTACCTACTCACTGCTTGCCCCCTACTCACTGCTTGCCCCCTACTCACTGCTTGCCCCCTACTCACTGCTTGCCCCCTACTCACTGCTTGCCCCCTACTCACTGCTTGCCTGCCTGCTCACTGCTTGCCTGCCTGCTCACTACTTGCCCCCTACTCACTGCTTGCCCCCTACTCACTGCTTGCCCCCTACTCACTGCTTGCCCCCTACTCACTGCTTGCCTGCCTGCTCACTGCTTGCCTGCCTGCTCACTGCTTGCCCCCTACTCACTGCTTGCCTGCCTGCTCACTGCTTGCCTGCCTGCTCACTGCTTGCCTGCCTGCTCAATGCTTGCCTGCCTGCTCACTGCTTGCCTGCCTGCTTATTGCTTGCATGCCTGCTCACTGCTTGCCTGCCTGCTTCTAATTGCCTGCTTATGTCCATTCATTCCCTGCCTGACCTCACTGGCCTCAAGAAGCTCACCCAAATGTACCCTGCCTGCCCTGCCTTCCCGCCCCGCCTGCCCGCCTGCTCACTGCTTGCCTGCCTGCTTGGTCCCTGCCCGCCTGCTTCTGCATTCCATCTCATTTCTCCTATCATCCCATGCTGCGCTTGGCTGCCATTTCGTTTTTCTAAGATCTTAAATCTCCTTGCTGCCTCCACACACACCTACATTTTCCACCTCTCCCTCTCCTTTTACCTTTCTCCTTCCAACACCTCTCTCTCCCTCCAACACCTCCCCATCTGCCACCCTCAACTCCTCCCTGCAGCGACCTCTCCGATAACTACTTCTCAGGTCCGCTCCCCTCCTTCCTGCGTCAAGTCAAGCAAGTCAACGCGGACAGCAACTACTTCTCAGGCTCTGCCGCCGCCCTCCCCTGCTCCGACCTCTTCTCAGTCAACGGCAACTGCCTCTCCTCCGTCCCCTCCCAGTGCGGGGGACCCGCCGCCCAGAAAACCCCGGCGGAATGCAGCAAGTTTTGTGGGACAGGGGCGGCAGGTGGGGCGTGCAGCGGCAAGGGCGTGTGTGTGCCAGACATGCAGAAGATGCTGAGCTCTCATGCGTTTGTGCCGGTGTGCAAGTGTGCGGCGGGGTTCCTGCCTACGCAGAATAAGCTAGGTTGCGTGAAGAAGTGAGGGTGGAGTTAGGTCGACGCGCGTTCTGAGTCGAGTCGACTCAGAACGCGCGTGTGTGTTTTAGACATGCAGATTATGTTGAGTTCGCAGGCGTTCGTGCCGGTGTGCAAGTGTGCGGAGTGGTTCCGGGCTACACAGAATACCGTATTCTCCCGGACAAAACACCCCCCCATAACTGTACAACCCCGGGTAGCTTGTACGGGGTGGGTGTTATGATAGACCTCGTTTCTACTATACCCCCCTTTTTGGCTGATTTTCTATAACACCCCCCTCTTCTTACGGATTCATTATTATAGTCGTTAACGAGTAGCTGCAATACGAAAGAATATTGCGTGGATTTCTCCCTCGATGAAATTTCGTGGTACATTCAAATGCAATCTACCGAGATTTTCCCCCTCCCACTATTTCGCTGTCGCCATGTGCAGGTGAATCTTCCGCTGCAAGTGGCAAGAGAGGTGTCACATGGCATTTTCGTGGGGGTGATGAAGTTCGAGGCCAAAACTCGCATTCGCGCCTCAGGCAGTGATGTTAAAATGGCCAGCAAAACACCCACATTGACAATTAAAAAAAACACTAACACTAAAATATGCCATATGTAAAGACCCGGGTATTATGTATTTTTTTCCTATGAGGAGACCCCCCCCCCCCCATTTTTTCCCTGTATTTTTAGCTATACCCTAGGGTGTTATGTCCGGGACAATACGGTAAGCTGGGTTGCGTGAAGAAGTGATGGTGGCACGGTGGTGTGGTTAGAATAAAGACTGGAAGGGGAACCCTCTTCCAGTGATGCAAAGGAATTGGAAGCAGAAATAAAGGCTGCCAGCTTTGTCTCCATTCTTATCGTATTGAGTTTACAATGTCACTTCTGCAAATGCAGCATGGAACCTCTTGTTGATTCAAAAGCACCATTATATTAAAGCAAGGGTGTACTTTGGGGGGGTGGAGGCAAAGGTTTATCACTTGCCTCCAAGCCCTACGATATCAGGAAATTTTCCCTGAAATTCCTGATTTCCAGGGTTTATTTTAACCTACACTGATTTTCCAGTGTTCAGCTTTTTGTGGGGCTGATTTTTCAGCCTTCACCTAGCACATGACTCTGAACTTTCAGCAAATTTTTTTTTGTGACACTGATTCCACTACGTTGTAACGAATCCGACCCTGAAAGCGATTCCTACACGGTTCGTGTGTAGTTGCTCGGCTGTATAGGGAATATCAGATTCCCGCGGTGTCAGCAGGGCGTGGCGGTGAGTAGCAGACAAATTTGCCTCGTAGAGGGATGCGTTATTGGCGAGCGTGGTGCGATGATTGGCCATTATGACAGCATTTCCTGATTTGGCCAATTACAGGGTTGCAGCACACCGATGCTGGCAGGCAGCGCAACGAGGGATTCAGGCCCATGTGAAGCATCTGTGGTCCTCTTGTGAGAATGAGAACGAGAATGAAATGACTATGAATGAAGTGAGTACATATAGGAGACCCTAATTGGGTTGTACCCCATATGGGATACCCCACTATAGCCTACAGAAATAAGTAAGCTATAATGTTCTGACACACCCCCATAGGCAAAGTGGGGGAGAACAAGGGGTCACAAGACCAGTCAAGCAGAGCAAGGCAAAGCTCAGGGTGGATCACAAAGTCACCACACATTCCGAGCACAAGTTCAAAGGCCAAAAGGCCAGTTCACATGCAAGATCATACATATAGATATACAAGAGGCTAAGCAAGCAAGAGCAAGAGCATATATATATGACAGTACAAGCAAGGTCAAGAAGTGAGCAAGTGAGGCAAGACAGGCACAAGACCCAACTGAGTGCAGAAGCGCTGATGATCACAAGGCACAAGTGCCTTGGTGAAGACATCAGTAGTGTTGGCCTCAGAGGCCACGTACGCAAGCCGCAACTGTCCACGCTGCTGTAGCTCACGAGCAAGAAAGTAGCGGAGAGCAATGTGCTTTGTCCTGTGCTCCAGTCGCTGCTCTCGACACAAGGCCAGCATGGCCTTTTTGTCGATGTACAGGACTGGAGGAGAAAGAGGCGGCTCTCCAAGGTCGGTTAGCAGGTAGGTGAGCTAGCGAAGCTCCTGGGCAGCCATAGCCCCGGCGTAGATCTCAGCCTCACAACTGGAGCCGAGAACAGAAGACGAGCGGATAGCCCGCCACGAAACAGAGCCGGAACCAAGACTGAAAGAGTAACCCTGTGACGACCGCTGCGTAGCCTGGTCGTCAGCCCAAGAAGCGTCCGCGTGCCCAGTGAGGACCACTGGACTCCGCCCTCCAAGCACTAGCCCCATGCCCGACGTACTGCACAAGTAGCGCAACACCCTCTTCGCTGCAGCCATGTGCTCTGGTCGGTGTCTCCCTGTTAGAGACTAAGGACGGAGTCTACGAAGATTAGGTGCCAAAAATTCTCAAAATCGTTGGCTTAGAATTCTGGACAGAAAACGTCGACTTCACAAGAAACGCCGTCGACGAAAGGTGCACTGTTAAAACTTCACCAAACTTAGATATGTTGTAGCTCTAGTCCGTGGCTACAGTTCCCAATTTGAATCGTACAATAAGGTGAAGTATTTCTTGAGTTATGAATTTCGGCGCACTAGGGGGTATGCTGCCATAGAATATTAACTCAATCACACTTGTCTCACAAGCTCACAATTAACTACACAAGAGAGTTGGAGTAGCACTAAACCAGGTGGGATGGGATGAGGAGGACAAGAAGGAAGGTCCCAAGAGAGTCCCCAACCAAGGAAACCCCATGCCACACAATTCCCCTCTCCATAGGCAACCCCACTTTCACTTTTGTCACTTTCCCAACCCATGCCATCCACCTTAACCCAACTTGGCCACACTTGCCAACCTGGTTTGGTTTCACCCAACCACTTGGCAGCAACTACAGTAGAAAAGACGAATTTCCCAACCCCCAAAAGTCTGTACCCCATATTGAGTCAACCCCACAACTCCCCATAGTCACCACAACCAAATATCAAAAGCATACGAACTCCAACGTTCGTAACTTTCTTGTTCGTGCTCCGATTGAAGCGATAATTGGTTCGTCGGAAAGCTCTTGAGCAGAGGAGTCACTTCAAATATCTGCTCAAGCCAAATAACATTCACACACACTCAGAAAATCCAAACCACACAAGACACAAATTTCTTGCACACGCTCACACCACGCATGCAACGCACAAACACATGATGGGAGGCAGACAGACGTGAATGCATATCGTTGCATCACACAACAAACTCCCCCTCTGGCTGCCAACCATCATCCCACATTCCATAGCTCAAGCATGCACTCTCAATGCACACTCATCCCAGCAAGCTTCATGCCCTTCCAATGCTCTGATTCAGCCAGGCGCTTGGTGAGAATGTCAGCCGCCTGCTGATGGGTCTTCACAATCTCCAGCCGCACCTCCTTGTCCAGGAGCCTTCTTGTCCAATGCCACTTTGGCCTGATGTGCTTTGTCAAGCCATGAAGACAAGCATTCTTCGCTAGCTTCACCGCCAACTCATTGTCACAGAAAATCACAGTCGGCTCCCTCTGACCAACTCCAATCTCCTCCAACAAACGCCTCAGCCACACCACCTCCTTTGCCCCATGATGCAGGGCCATGTACTCTGTCTCACACGAGGACTGCCCCACTTCATTCTGCTTCTTACTGCGCCAGCTCACTGCACCACCTCCGAACAGGCACACATAGCATCCAATGCTGGTGCCATCCGCTTTCACCGAGTTGAAGCTAGCGTCAGTGTAGCAGGTCAGGAGCATCTCCCCCTTGCTCAAATCAGCTGCACCCCTCTGCAGCCTCTGCCTCACAGCACTGTACTCCAAACCCACTGATGCCGTTGCACTCACATAGCGGACCAACCTCTTGGCCGCTTCCAGCTGCTCATGACTGGGGCGTGAAACCACACTGGCAAGCCTGGATGTTGCAAAGGCAATGTCAGGCCGTGTGTGGTTAGCCGCATAGTTGAGTGCCCCAACCATGGAATGAAAAAGTTTCCTGTCACTCTCACCCACCACCTCCTCATCAGCACAGGGCTCCACAGTGAACCCCGAAGGCAGTGGGGTGGCTGGCTTTCCTCCATCTTGCAGCCCATACTTCTCAGCCAGCCCCTCACAATACTTTCTCTGGTGCAACCTCAACACTCCCTTGTCAAGGTCCCTCTCCACATGCATCCCTAAATAGTACTTCACATCTCCCATCTTGGAGCACTTGAACTGCATCTCCAGCATCTCCTCCACATGCTCAATCATTGCAGACGAATCAGAGAAGAGCAGGATGTCGTCCACATACACCAGGAGCATGAGAAACTGCTCCTTCTCCTGCAGCAGGAACAAGCTGTGATCACACTCACTCTTCTTGAAACCCCCAGCCAGCAGAGTCTCCTCTAACTTGTGGTACCATGCACGAGGAGCCTGCTTCAGGCCATAGATGGCCTTCTTCAGCCTGCACACCCTGCCGCTCCCATCATCCAAACCCTCAGGCTGTAACATGTACAGCTCCTCCAGAATGATCCCATTGAGGAAGGCGGTGGTGATGTCCATCTGCTTCACCTGCCATCCACGGTTTGCTGCCATTGCCAATGACACCCGAAGTGTTGTGCCTTTCCCCACAGGAGCATAGAGCTCGTTGAAGTCCTTTCCCTTTGTCTGCTGAAACCCCTTAGCCACAAGCCTTGACTTGTAGCGGGTCAGCGCCCCATCAGGTCCGTACTTGTGCCTGAAAATCAGCTTGGAAGAAATGGCCTTCTTCCCGGGTGGCAGCTCACACAGCTCCCACGTCTCATTCTCTAGCAGAGAATCATACTCCTCCTTCACACTCTGCTTCCACTTTTCAGCATCGGGCCCGCTCAATGCCTCAGCTAGCGTCTTGGGCTCAGGGACGGCTGCCCAGTAGCAGTGTGCTATCTCATCCTCATCACACTGCTCAGCCACACTCCCAGCCCTCACCACCTTTGGCTTGCCACGGCTTGCATAGGTCAGCCTGTTAGGAGGGCGCACATCCCTCCTAGGACGGTCACCCGTACGTCCGGCACCTTGTGGAGCACCTTGCTCCTCCTGCTGCTGCTGCTGCTGCTGCTCCACCACAGGTTCTCCCCCATCATCAGTCACCCCAGAGATCTCCTCCTTGGAGTCAGAAACCTCCACCTGCCTCGAAGGCCGCTGCACCTCATCGGCCTCGACAATTAGCGGTGTCGTAGGAAGCTTCTGCTGCTGCTGCTGCTTCCACTCTTTGTAGTACAAGGACTCAAGGAACTTCACATCCCTTGACACAGTCAGCTGCTGGCTGGTCAAGTCCCAAATCAGCCAGCCCTTGTGATCCTTAGCAAGCCCCAAGTGCACACCCCATCTCCCAGAAGCTTCCAGTTTTCCCCTCTTCTCCTTAGGCACATGAAACACCACCATGCAGCCATAAGTTCTCAGCATGTTGACTGCAGGCGCACTCCCATACCACTTGGTGTAGGGGACCCATTGCTTGTCCCCCACAGTCGCCAGCACCCGGTTCTTCACAACAACGACCTGCCGCAGTGCTGTCACCCAAAACGGATCCGGCAGCCCTGCACGCCCAAGGAGAGTGCGAGCACCTTCCTGCAGGGTCCGGTTGAACCGCTCAGCCACGCCATTCTGCTGAGGGTTGTAAGGCACTGTGAGCTGATGCTGGATCCCCTTCCGCTTCAGCTCCTTCTCAAAATCAGCGCCGATGAACTCTCCTCCGTTGTCAGTGCGGATCACCTTCACCTTGTGTCCGCTCTCCCTTTGTGCTCTCGGCATCCACTCCTTAAGAACAGCCGCTGCCACCTCCCCCTTAGTCTTGAGAGGGTACACCCACACCGCACGTGTGTGGTCGTCCACAATTGTCAAGAAGTAGCGGCTGCCCGAGAGAGAAAGGGCCCTCGTGGGGCCCACCACATCCATGTGTACTAGTGCAAGTGGTGCCTTGGCTGGTCCTGTGCTGCTGCTGAAGGGAAACTTCGTGAATTTGGTCTCAAGGCAGGTAGGGCAGCTCCCAATCTCCTTTGCTCCCCCCTTCACCTCCAGCCCCTTCAAGCACCCATCCTTTACCAACTTCTGCAGCATAGGAATGTTCACATGGCACAGCCTCTCATGCCACGTCTCCCAATCAGCCTCACCACTCCCAGATGAAGCCTTTGCCCATGCAGCTGTCGCATCCACACCAGCAAGCACCTCACCATGTGGTTGCTGTGACTGCTGCACCTTCTTGACTGCATCTAGGGCCCCTGCAGTTGGTGAAGTCTCATCTCCTCCCGCAGTTGCTTTAGCCGCTGCCGCTGCCTTTGCCGTTGCTGGTGGTTTCCCATTCCAAGGGATGATGGGCAGCTGCCACAAGTCCTTGATGCAGCTGCTCTTCTCCTCCAAATTCCACAGCAGCAACTTCCCAAGCTTTGCACGGCAGCAGGTTGGGCCGAACGTAACTTTGGCCTTGCTTTTCTGCAGCCGGCGCACAGAGAGGAGGTTAGCGGATAAACCTTCAACCAACAGCATTTTTCCCAGCCCCACAAGCCCCCCATTAGCTCCCATAACCTTGGCATTCCCAACACCAATCACAGGGAGCAAGGCACCTGAAGCGGCAGCCACAAACTTTATCTTCCCAGGGGGCTTCACCTCATCAAGCAAATCTGCCCGTGGAGTCATGTGACTCGTGCAACCTGAATCGATCACCCAGTGAGTGAGGGGGTGCATCACAACCTTCCCAACTGAACCCACATCACCCCCACTCCCTTGCACGTCCTCAACCATGAGGAACATACCAGGGTCGGCTTTACCTTGTGCACCATCACCTTGTGCACCTGAACCTTGCACAGCACCACCTCGTGCACGTTCACCACTTGGCGGCTTCATGCCTGGAGGCGCCCATCCTTCAGGCCGGCTGAAACACTTGAACCATGGGTGTCCAGCCTTCTTGCAGTACCAGCACGCACCCTCCATTCGGGTGCTCCCCCTGCCACCAGAGCTCCCATGCCCCTCATTGTAGTCACCTCGGCCTCTCCCTCTGCCAAAGCCTCTCCCACGGCCTCGGCCTCTCCCTCCCCCTCTCCCTCTGCTGCCTCCTGCAGCTCCATACCCCTCAGCAGTTTTGTTGGCAGCACCACCTCCAGTGTGGCGCCTGCGGAAGTCCTCCTGCAGGATCTGCTGCCGTAGCCACTCAGGCGTCCATTTGTCCTGCTGAATGTTGAGGGTGGGGATGAGGTTGTCCCACGAGTTGTCGAGCACCGAGATGATCTTGGTGCACTGTTGCATCTGCGACACTTCGCTGCCCGCCGCTGCCATCCTCGCATAGGTGTCCTTGATCTTGTCAAGGACCGGCTTCACATCATCTCCCGGCCGCATGGAGAGGGCAGCCAACTCCTTCTCCAATACGATCACCATCGGCAGCGTGTTGGGTTGAACCACGTCGCGTAGCAGCTTCCACGCCTTCGGTCCCGAGTCATCGAGCTCCACCAAATCCTTGATATGCTGGAACATGTCGTTGTTGACCGACTGTAGAATCAAGTCGTACAACACCGCACTCTTCTCAATCCACCGATCGCGGGCGTCTCCTTCCCCCGGCATCTTCTCCTCTCCCATTGCAATTTTCAGCAGCTTGTAGCGCTTGAAGGCGCTCCGCATCCGCCCGCTCCATTCCTCGTAGTTGGAGCCATCCAAAGCTTCGATCTTGGATGGTGGCGGTTCACTCCTCTTCTCAGATGCATCTCCACTCCCTTGATTCATCTCCTCTGCTCCCAATCAGAGGTTTCAGCTCCCCCCTTTGCTGGTCACAATGTAGATCCACACAATCTTCACAAGTGACGGCGCCAACGAAATTTCGGCAGAGTTTCCCCTTAGCGGAAGTCACATCCAACCTCCAGAACTCCACTTAGGCACGCCCACAGGCCATGGTGGGTCTACGAGGGTCTTCACACTTCAGTAGACTCTCCACAAAGTCCTTAATCAGCTCTGATACCACTTGTTAGAGACTAAGGACGGAGTCTACGAAGATTAGGTGCCAAAAATTCTCAAAATCGTTGGCTTAGAATTCTGGACAGAAAACGTCGACTTCACACGAAACGCCGTCGACGAAAGGTGCACTGTTAAAACTTCACCAAACTTAGATATGTTGTAGCTCTAGTCCGTGGCTACAGTTCCCAATTTGAATCGTACGATAAGGTGAAGTATTTCTTGAGTTATGAATTTCGGCGCACTAGGGGGTATGCTGCCATAGAATATTAACTCAATCACAATTGTCTCACAAGCTCACAATTAACTACACAAGAGAGTTGGAGTAGCACTAAACCAGGTGGGATGGGATGAGGAGGACAAGAAGGAAGGTCCCAAGAGAGTCCCCAACCAAGGAAACCCCATGCCACACAATTCCCCTCTCCATAGGCAACCCCACTTTCACTTTTGTCACTTTCCCAACCCATGCCATCCACCTTAACCCAACTTGGCCACACTTGCCAACCTGGTTTGGTTTCACCCAACCACTTGGCAGCAACTACAGTAGAAAAGACTGTCAGAGTATTATAGCTGATGCATGTTTGTAGGCTATAGTGGGGTAGCACATATGGGGTACAGGGCTTCTAGGGTTGTATTTGTACCCAATCTTTCCTTAGTCATTCTCATTCCTGTTCATTCTTCTCACATGGTATAGAGCGGGTCCCTCCTAAGGACCGTTTTTTTTAAGGGCCCACCCACGATTTTTTTTCTGCCCGGAGCGCGCCCTATTCTCCCCGAGGCGCGCTCCCCCCTAGTGCTTGTCGCGCTGCCCTTGTGGCGCCGGAGAGTCGCGCGCGCGACTCCCTTTTTTTTCGCGCGCGCGGCCCGGGCCCCACGTAGCGCTGGCCTTACGGCCGCGCCGCGCCGCCTCTCGGCTCTCTGCCGCGCCGCGCCGCCCTCACGCCGGCCGCGCGGCCTCTTCGTCGCTGCAGCGGGCCCCGTCACCTGACGGCCCCGCCGTCCTACTCCCGGCCCCGCCGCTGCACCCTGCCGGCCCCGCCGCTGCACCTCTGTCGGCCCCGCCGCTGCACCCTAAAGGCCCCGCCGTCCCCTGTCACGGCCCTGCCGTCCCCTGTCACGCCCCGCCGCTGCACCCTGACGGCCCCGCCACTGCACCAGTCGGCCCCGCCGCTGCACCCTGACGGCCCCCCGCGTCCCCTGTCCCGGCCCCGCCGCTGCACCCTGCCGGCCCCGCCGCTGCACCCTGACGGCCCCGCCGCTGCACCCTGACGGCCCCCGCCGTCCCCTGTCCCGGCCCCGCCGCTTGCACCTTGCCGGCCCCGCCGCTGCCACCCTGACGGCCCCGCCGTCCCCTGTCACGGCCCCGCCGCTGCACCTTGCCGGCCCCGCCGCTGCACCCTGACGGCCCCGCCGTCCCCTGTCCCGGCCCCGTTCTGCACCCGAGCCGCCCTGCCGCCGAGCCGCCCGGAGCCGAGCCGCCCTGCACCGAAGCCGCCCTGCCGCCGAGGCTGCCCGGGAGCCGAGCCGCCCTGCACCCGAGCCGCCCTGCCGCCGAGCCGCCCGGGCGCCGAGCCGCCCTGCACCCGAGCCGCCCTGCCGCCGAGCCGCCCGGGAGCCGAGCCGCCCCAGCAGCTGAGTCGCTGAGTCGCCGAGCCGCCCTTCTGCAGAGTTTCCCGGCCTGCCCTGCCTGGTGAGCACAGTCGCACTGTCACTGCGTGCTCTTCCCCTACTCCTTGCACTGCTTCGCTGTCGTCGTCATGGCTACCCCTAGTGTCCTAGCTTTTGACGCTGAGGGTCGCGCCATTGATTTGAGGTCTGGTTAGACGACCTGCAGCTGTTCTTACAGTGCGACAGGGCTGACAAGCCTTTCTCTCTTTGACCTCACCTCTGGCGCCTCTCCTGCTCCTGCTGCTGATGCTGATCCCACTGTCCGCTCTCAGTGGGCCACCCGCGATGCTGCTGCACGTCTTGCTGTGCGTCGCCACCTCCCTACCTCTGAGCGGTGCGCACTTTAGTCAGTACAAGAGTGCTCAGACCTTGTTACGACGCTGTAGTTGCGCGCCTAATCCTCCCCTGCCACTGCCTGCACTGAGCCGTCTCATGCTTCCCTACCTCTTTCCTGACCTCTCTGCCTTTCCCCACTGTCGCTGACCTCATTACGCACCTCCGCACTAGCGACACTCGCTACCGCGCCGCCCTTCCTGCTGAGTTCTGCGCTAAGAACCCACCCCCCATGTACATCGCTCTCTACTACGTAGTTGCGCGCCTCCCTGACTCCCTTCGCGTCGTCAGGGACCACTTTCTCGCAGTCTGTCCACCACCCTCACCGTCGACCTCCTCGAGAAGGCCCTCCTCGCAGCGGAGAAGAGCATAGTCGCTGTAGGTGCTTCTCGTGGTGATCCTCGCACCCCCATCTTTGAGGGGTGCTCTCCTTCCCCTTGCTGCCTTCTGTTGCCTTTGCTGCTGCTGCCGACTGCTTGGTCTTGAGTCGGTCGGCGCGGCGTCTACCCCTAGTGGAGACGTCGCTCCAGCCAGGGCAAGGGGGGCAAGGGCGCGGGTGGAGCTGGAGGAAGCGGTGGCGGTGGCGGCGGTGGCGGCGGAGGGAGTGGGGGGTGGCGGCGGGACTAGTGGCGGGGGTGGTGGTGGTGGTGGCAGCAGCGGCGGAGACGGTGGTGGTGGTGCCAGCGGTGGTGGTGGAGGCAAGGGCGGGGTGGAGGTGGCGGCGGCGGTGGGGGGGGGTGGAGGCGGCAGCGGGAGGAGGCGGTGGTGGTGGAGGAGGTGGAGCTGGTCGGGGTGGTACCCAGCAGCGTAGCGGCGGTGGTGGTGGCCAGCGCTCGCAGCGGCAGCAGCAGCAGCGCTCGCGGGACATCCCTCCGCCTCAGCAGCTTCGTGAGTGGTACGCTGGGCGTCAGAGGGGTGGGGGTACTGGTCCCTGCACCTACGTTCTTCGTTCCGGCGACCGCGCGGGGTGAGCAGTGTGGGGTGCCCACGCCACCCAGCGCTGCTTTGGCTGCCTGACGGACGCTTGGCGTCGGCAGTTCCCTGGGGCTAGTGAGATCCCTCGCTGGGATGAGCTTCTAAGGGCTGGTGTAGCGATCTTTGATCTTGATTTTGATGCTATCCTTGCTGCTATGTATGCTGTGGATTATAGTGAGGAGAATGAGGGTTAACGGTGTTTCCAGCCCGACCCGGGCATTGGTACTGCTGCGCTAGGTGCTTGTGAGGCTGCTGCTCTAGGTGTCAGTGCGACTGCGCTCTCAGGTCCTGGTGAGACTGCGCTCTCAGGTACTGCGTAGTCCTCGTCCTCCCTCACTTTCACACTGACTCCGGGCTCTCGCTCTCTGCGTCGGCGGCTCTCCTCACTCTACTTCGACTCGAGCCGCTTCTCGCTCCTTCGAGGTTAGCCCCTATCGTGCTCTGCGGTCCCTCTTGCTGGCGGCTCTGGGCTTCGGTCCTGTCCGTTCTGTTCTCACTCTCCACCTCGTGTCCGGCTGCCCCTTCGGGCACCCTGTCTGGTCTGTACCTTCCCTCGTTCTCTACGAACTTGGTGAGTGGAGCGGACCTGCAGGATGTGGGAGTTGACCAGTTCACTCCTGCGAGTCAGCGGGTGACCCACTGCACGGAGGCACGCACAGGCCGACACCTGGCCCCGTTCTCGCGTCGGCCGAGGTCGAGTCTCTACACCCTGACCGTTGAGTCTCCTCCTGTCCCTGCGTCTGGTCAGGTGGCTGCGTCGGGTCAGGTGCTTGCTGCTGCGTCCCGGTCAGGTCCTGAGTCTGCCCCTGTTCTTGTCGCCTCTGTCTCACGAGACTCTCCTGTGGCACCACCGTCTTGGCCACCCCTCCTTGCCCCGTCTTCGGAGCATGGCTTCCCGTGTCCTTGTCTCTGGTCTTCCCCAGTCTCTCCCTCCTCTCCCCTCCGGGCCAGGACCTTCCTCTGTCCCCTGTGTCGAGGGTCGCCTCCGGGCTACTCCTCACTCCTCCCACTCCCCCCGACAGAGGTTCCCCTGCAGACGCTTCACATGGATGTGTGGGGCCCAGCCCCCGTCCGTGGGCAGGGTTACGAGCGCTACTTCCTGCTGGTGGTTGACGACTACTCGCGTTACACCACAGTCCTCCCTTGCGCAGCAAGGGTGCGGGTCACTGAGGTGCTGATCGACTGGATCCGCGAGGCTCGTCTCCAGCTCAGGCAGAGCTTCGGCTCGGACTTTCCTGTTCTGCGTCTGCACTCGGACAGAGGCGGAGAGTTCTCTTCTCGCCTTCTGCGGGACTACTGTCGTGCGCGGGGGATTCGCCAGACCTTCACGCTTCCGGACTCACCACAGCAAAATGGGATTGCTGAGCGCCGCATTGGCATGGTCATGGATGTCGCTCGTACGTCCATGATGCATGCGGCTGCCCCCCATTTTCTGTGGCCGTTTGCGGTGAGGTACGCGGCGCATCAGCTCAACCTTCACCCCTGGGTCTCTCGGCCTGCGATGTCCCCAGCCTTGCTGTGGACGGGGAAGGTTGGCGATGCGTCGGTGTTCCGTGTCTGGGGATCTCGGGCGTTTGTCCGCGACTTGTCTGCGGACAAGCTGTCCCCTCGTGCTGCTCCCTGTGTCTTCCTTGGCTTCCCCACTGACGCCCCAGGGTGGCAGTTTTACCACCCCTCCTCTCGTCGTGTTCTGTCCTCCCAGGACGTCACGTTCGACGAGTCAGTCCCCTTCTACCGTCTCTTCCCCTACCGCACTCCTTCCCTCCCCCCTCCCCCGGACTTCCTTGTGCCGGTTCCAC